AGTAGTGATGCTCATCAAGGTCAAAACACACCGTGTGTTTTTTTCCTGTGTGAACACAGGAACATATCTCAAAAAACATTTTTACCAAAAAGTCAGTAATCCACACGAGAAATCCGAGTCTGCAAGAAATATATTTGTCAAACCTACACCTCTCTTACCCCATGAAGAGACAAAAGATTGATATAAAATTCAAAGGAATTGTTCAATACCGGTAGTTTTAGCATTAATTCATATTTGTTTCTCTTCACCATAAAGCCTTAAATGACACGTATATTTAAAACCAAAACACAGGGCCAAGATGTCATGAATCTAAAATTACAGAGAGTGGGGAATTAAAATAAAAAGCCTTGGCTCTGCCACAGACAGATTTTCTGAATGCATGCTGCACAAGGCTATAAACTTCCTGATGTTATTATATTAAAAATTAGCCTTGTTAATCAGACAGTTAAGGGCGAGATCTACCTGTTCTGATATATGCCTATTCGCTTTATTTCATTGTCTCACACCACTGGTAAGATTTTTTTTTTCCACATAAGCATCAGAATTGAACAACAAAAGAAATCCCATAACCCAATTTCCAATCAGAAAGTGCTGGCTGACATCCCATGCTCTGCAACAACTTATAAACACCAAACTCAACAATGTCACTACACAGCTCTTCAAAGTGTCATTTCATTAAAAAAAAAAAAAAAAAATCTCAGACAATATCAAATTTCAATTTATTTCACAAAGAAAAAAAAACAAAACACTTTGCTCCTAATAATTTTCACCAATGCTTCTTTACTCAGCCTAAACTATGACTGCAAATCTTTATTTTCAACTATCTGCCTCCAGGATTCCAAAATGTGTACTTGTTCAGCTCTTTTCTCTTTTCATAAGAGGTCTAAAACAATTAGATTAAATGTGTTTTATTCTTAAAGTATCAAAATAAGAAACCTAAACAAATTCTGTGCCTAAAACACCTACGGGATAAACACAGTGTGTGAGTTGCAGAGTTCTAGTTACTTCTTGGTGCTGTTACTCATCTCATCTTCCATTATTCTGATGGTATGTACATGACATTAGTGTGTATGACACTAAGTTATTACTATGACCCCCTGGCCCAAAAAAGCCTTTCTAGCAGAACAGCCACATACTGAATCTAGAACCATTATGGTTTTCAGGTGGAAAAAAAGCCTCTCTGTTTTTTAAACTCATTATTGAACCCCAGATGTTCAGGGATCAGATGACCAGCTTTGAAAAATAAAGTAACATAAAATAGTTCAGTGTCTCTTTTGATCACGTTTTAGTTTTAGAGCCATCGGTCTCATTTTCAAGCTTTACCTCCATAATTCCAAGGCTGTATTCTTTCTTCTTTCAGATGACAAAGTTGTCCATTGTCTAATTCCCTAAAACATCTGGAAATTCAGTATGATCACAGATACATGCAACTGGTTGGCAAGCAATGTGAAAATGCTGTATCCAGTCAGGCAGACACATGATTTGGTTCAAAATACCTACTAGCTACTGCAATTCTGGGCCCTTCAAATCATGGGAAACTGACTTCATGTTTCAAAACTGGAGACTGCAAGTTTACAAACCATGCCAGAAACAGATTTAGTATTAAGCTCCTGACTTATCTACATGTTGACTGAAAGATGAAATTATGGTTATTCCCCTTAATTTTCAGGTTTAGATTGGGCTATCTGAATGTTAAGCAATAAAACTACATATAGAGTTATATAGTGCCATAATGTGAAAAACTAAAGTAAACACACACTACTATAAACATGAAAACTTAAGCTGTTTTGGAAAGGGGTTTTACAAGTCTGTGAAACAATGCAAGGCTCATAGTGTTAGGCACTGTTTAGCCGCTAGAAATTACAGCTCAAAAGTGCTTATAAATCCTCTTGTTTCAAAACAATCGAATATGTAATATTTCTAAGTGAAGCTGCTAACACTTCGTAGTAAAGTGTACTTGAAACAAAATTAGAGACCCTGACTATTTTTAAATAATATGCACATTCTAAACATACCAGCTTTATTTACTTATAAAAAAGTCACCCATTTCTGTAAATAAAGGAAAAAGGACTCTCTACAAAGCTTCTGAATGTCACATCTTATTTTACTGAAACCACGTTTCTCAGCATCAGAAATCCCCCAAATAAAACAGTGTCATACTTGAAAGACTGAAGTACCTGTGAAATTCCATTTTAGCTCTATGAGTTTACTTACTTAAAGCTAGTCTTGGCTACTAACACTTGAAATATTTGCTTGATAAATCTACCAGAAATACATTAAATCACAGTCCAGTTTTTAGCAATTAAGATTGATCCTGTTCCCCACAGTAGTCAGATTAGTAAACTAAAAGGTAGAGGTTGGAGAAATACCCTGTTAGACTGAATGACAACAAACTGGATTGCTCAGCTTAAAGGGTAGTAATCGATGGCTCAGCATCCAGCAGGTACTAGGTAAGAAGCACCACATAGGCTGATACTAGGGCCAGTATTATGCAGTAGTATCTTCATCAAGAACGTGGGTGCTACAACAGAATGAATTCTCAGAAAATTTGTGGATGATATTAAACAAGGAAGACTGATTGACTCTCCAAACAGAGATTCAACTGAGATGCACCTTGATAAACTTGAGGAATAAGCCAACAGGAACCTTATGAAGTGCAAAATTCTGCTCCTGGAGTGCCTCAGTGGAGCCTGGGAACAGACCGGTTGAACAACAGTCTTACTGAGATAGATCTGGAGATCAAACTGGTTTCCAAGCTGAATACAAGCCAAAAGTCTGCTCTCACTGTAAACAGGGAAAGCCAAGAGGAGTGCAATCAAAAGAAACACATCATTGGTGAGATGCAGCTCAAATACTGCGAACCTGGAAATAGCCACCAAAATGGCCTGCTGCCTTGGGAATGATGTTTGAGAAGCATGTGATGGAGCTGGGTTTGTTTAGTCTGACAATGAGGCAGCCTAGGGATAATCTAATAGCAACTGAAGTAGCATTACAAAAACAATGAAGCAAACCCATCCCAGTCTCACATGTAACAGCTTGGGAGGTTCAGACTGGACATTAGAAAAAAACATCTGCAAGGTGATTTGGTGCCATACTCAAGAGAGGTGATAATCTTTGCTCTCAGAGATTTTCAAAACTCAGTAGACAAATCCATAGCTGGCAAACAAATGTTATTCATAATTCCACTCTGAGCCAAGTGCCTGGACAGATAAGATCCAGAAGTCCCTTCCAACCAATGCTCCCAGACACCACAGCCAGCACTGGAAACTGCCATTCCCCACACCAAATCAAAGTTTTAACAGGCCATTAAGAGACAGATTTAGCACTGACCAAAGACTCTTCTGTGCCATCTAACTCATTAAATGGCTCCTAAATCCATATCAACAGAACACCTTCTCCCAAGCAGTAAGAAAGTCTCTATAAAAGAGCAATGACTGATTTTTTTCAGAAGTACTTACACAGCTTCAAAACCACAAGTACAAGTCTTGTTCTCAAAAGTGATTTAAAAGGTCCCATTCACTTCAGGCATGTTTACATAGAAAGCCAACAGGCATCAAGAACAAAAGAAGTTATTACAATCTCAAGCTGGAGCAATTTGTGTCACAGAAAGATGCTACAAGCACATACTGTCCACAAGGCAGAAAAGCAACCTAGAGCCATGGGAAGTGGGTGGGGTGGGGTGTGTGACAGCTAGTAATTTAAATTTAATATCCTCATTTACTGTACATATCTTCTCCATCGATTTAAACCCTAGCAACTTTTTTTAAAAAGCATACACACAAACACAGGCTTTGCATAATCCAATATATAAACTCAGCGATTTCAAATCGATTAAGTGCTTTACTGGAACAAACCTATAGACGGCACAAATCCTAAGTAAAGATCAGTTGATTGATTTTTTTTTTTTTTTCTTTTGACTCCATAGGAAAAGTACTTAATCATACTGCCAATAGACAAAAACGTTACTCCAATGTCAGCATCTCTAAAGGAAAGATTTTAGGGTTGGTCTGCAAATTCAAGATCAGAGAAATGGATCTGACCCCACTCTAAGTGACTTCCATTATATATATTTTTTTATACATATATATACACACACACTTGAACTTCAGAGATGTTTCAAAAATAACAATTTCTAGACAAAGAATAATTTCTTTGTCACGAAGGTAAAGTCATCACAAGTTTGATTGTCCTGTTCTTACTGACATGATTAAAGCATGAGCCTTTACAGTAGTTGTCAGGTTCTCTTTCCCCTTACTGCTGCATAAATTACTTCAAAAAAAAAAAATTCATAATTTGCTCTATTCTTTACATCCAAGTTCTAATTTGCATATAACTTCCCTCATTCTTGTACTGGAAAAATCTGTTTCTCTTCACACTTACCCCTTGTGTACTTATCAACAAGCTCAGTCTACACTACAAAAATAAACCAAGGTACTGACAAATGATTTCTCTAGACAACACCACTGAGAAACAATTCAAATGTCAAGACCAGTTCCTCCTTCCTTCAACAGCAAGCCACAAGCAAATCTGCTGTTTTGACTAACTAGCAACTTTTCAGTATTTCAACTAGCTTGAACTGCTCGCTAGGAAGGAAGTTATACACAGAAGTTGCGTTCCCACTGTTGTTTTGTAGCCTCAGCTCAAAAAGCAGCCAGTAAAAACTGCATTTCAGAACTTAAATTTCAAGAAATACAGCCTCACCATTCCCAGGTAAAGAGATTATATAGCATTTACACATGGTATCAGCAAAGGAAATATTTACAGAATAGCTGTCAGGCTGGATATGGAACAGGAACTAAAGCCAGAGAGATTACACACAAAACACATCCTCCCTAACCTCTCTCTCCACATGTAAGTTCATATTCTACCTCATTTTAAGAGGGCTTTAAAGCTAAAACCTCAAATAGTATGTATTTTGAAGGTAGGGCTTTCCACCACCCTCCCCTTCAACTTGGTCAACCCTTTCCACACAGCCACTGAGAATCTACAAGACACAAGACAATTCTCTGTTTCCTGCACTTCATCAAAAACCACCACGTTAAAACAATAGGCAGTATATAGAGGTGCATCTTTAGCAAGTTAAGGCTAAGCTAAACTGAGCTGTAAGCTAGCCAACCTGTAAGCAACTTTACCTCCTTATGGTACTTCTTCGGCTTTACTGAAAGCAAAGACCAAGCAGTAAGGAAAGCAATCCTTTGGAGGTACCTAGAGCTAACAGAAAGTACAATCACAAAGAAAACAGAAAAACAGAAAAATCACAAAAAACAGAAAGCACAAACCTTTAGGTGACTTCTTTAAATGAACAGTGATTAGTAGTCTGGTTACTGAACAGCCTTGAGACACATGATGTGGAACAAGCAATTTATGTGAAAGGCAGCATTCCTGTCTCTTATCACCAAAGCCAGTTCTTTCAGTTTCAGCCCTAGCTCAGAGTTCTTCATGTTACTGGCCAATAATTAGGATCTAATTGCTTTTGACCAGGTAACAAGTTTCTTTCACATTAAAATAGAGATTTAACCAGCTTTATGCTCCCTAGCCTTTGGAAATGGGAAGTTTTCTGTTGTGGAGCAGGAACAAATATCTTCTTAAATGCTTACTTTTGCTTGCTTGTTTGTTCATTGCTTTTTAAGAAGTTGCAAAACATTTTCAGAAAGCCCAACTCTCCTACAGATCCTTCTTCCACACATGTATCTCTCTCAGCACAAAAGCAACAGTACAAAGAATGTACCTAATGGTTTAAGCTACAAGGCTACTACAGGGCATTTAAAGGGCTTCTTGGTAACTGTACTGGTTTTAAATGTCCATCTGCACCACCAGGATGGCCGATTCCAAAGTGGTATCAAAACATACCATGCTCCATATAGCCTCCTCCTTCTGTGCCCTGTCATTCTCCAGTTCTTTCACTAAACAGTTTGCCTTCCTAGCTCTAAATGCCAGTATGCATTCTGTGCAAGACAAGTGAAAAAACAAATCCCATTCATACCTGATCTACAGACCCAGTACATGTCTCAATTCTGACCTGCTACCACAAACCACTGTCACTTTGGCTATAAAATGACACACAGAAGAGATGAGCCCTCTGAGAAAAAGTCTTAAAATATGTATCTATATTTTTGCTGTAGTTACTCTTTCACATTCTACCACTGTGACCACAGAACAGAAACCTTCCAAAAAGCCAATGAAAACAAAAGAAACCACCACCAAGACTAAATTGACACGATCAACATTAACTTTCCCTGCAACATACCTGAGAGTTTCTGCACCATTTTATTTACACCACTAGATCCCACAGCTTATACTGTCACCTTCAAAATATCCTTGAGAATGGCAGAAATGGCTCCAAGGCAACCTGCCCCACCTGCAGAGAATCTAGTTAGGATGGTGCGCTAGACCAGCCCAGCACAGGCTGGTGCTGGGGCAAACTCTTGACACTGCACTTCTAAATGCTGACCATAGACTAGCAGACACAGCAAAGAGAAGGCTATTTACTTCTTACAGCTGAAAACAAGCTTATACAAATCAAAATGGAATTGAAGTCAGAGATCACAGGTTCATTTACTGCAGTGACAGAAACTTGGCACATGAGGTTAAGAATTGTGTTTTTCTAACTCCTGTCTGCTAGTACCTGGCTCTATATAGCCACTACAGTGGTCAGGAATTACCAGAAAACACAGAAAACAGTCACATTCTCTCTCCCTAGGAAAATCCAGATGTTCACCCCGCCTCAAACACTAGCTTTCCCCTATGCAGAAAGAAGGGAGATGGAGCTAGCAGATCTGCACAGAAGATGGAACATGCTCACTCCTCTGCATCAGGAATGCTGCAACTAAGACAAGTGCTATGAAAAAAAAAAAATCTAACACGCCAAACACATGCTGTCCAAATCTGAACATTTCTGTACTCATCTTTGTGTACTTCAGTAATACAGGAAAAGCAATTTTGATAAAGAAGGCAGAAATGCACCAATTACACTTTCAATAAATACTGCACTCAGAGAACAAAAGGTAGCAATAGAAAAAAAACCCCCTCTTTCAAATACAATGCTTTGGAAAGTAATGCAAAAACCAGGACAGTCTAGAAAACAAGTTCAGAGAGCAAAGTATTATAACAAGTTAATGAATTTGACAAATGTACTTTCTAGTGTTAGGAGGAAACATGGATGCTTTTGTGGCATGAACTCTGTGCTACTAAAAACATACACACTTTTAATGGTAAAGGTACCATATGTTTTACTTTAAATCAAATGGCCACTCTAGGTGTAAGAAAAAAACTGAAAGCCTGCTTATCAAAACAAAGGCAAGATGTTTACATACTGACAACAAACAGTTCATGCTGCTGCAGCAATAATTAAGTAGTTACTTGGGCGACAAAAACAGCACACCATCCAAATTAACTGTCAGGTTTTTGTTTTTTGTTTTTTTAATTTCAATGTTTAATCTTGTGGCTCAGCTACCACTTCAATCTTTCATCACTAGCTAGGGCTTAGGAACTTTTTTTTTTTTTTATGAGAACCTGATATTAAATAAAGTATCAACTGTTCATGCTTCAAGACAATTACTCAAGACTACCTTGGAAGGAACACTGTCTACCTAAGGAAATCCTTGTCTGGTTAAAGTGAGCAATTATTGGTGGAACCAGCATCCTGGGTTCTCATACCCGGAAGATTAGAAGCCCTGAGTTATGTACACATCCTTGAATTCGGGTGAAGTCTGTGGAAAGGCATTTTAAACAGTTTGTATGGGTTTGCCATTTGATGAGAAATGTTAGTATAATTGAAAAAATAAAACCAAAATTGGTCAGATACCCAAAACTAGTATTTTAAAGGTCCTTTAAAGAACTGCAGACAGTTCTTCCATGTAAGACATGTCATTCCAGCAATACACGTCATTACACACACAGAGTCAACAAATAGTCTCAATTATAAGGAACCATACTGAAGTCAGCAAGACTCAGCACAGATGCCAGACTTACTCATATAAAATAAATTTAAAAATAGAAGCAGGGCCTAGGGACATTAACCTAGTCCAGAAAAGAACCAAGAGTCATCAGCAAAGTCCCATCTGAAAACAATATTAAGCGAGCAATTAGGTTAGTGGGTTTCTGGTTTATCGCCTTAAGCCAGTAACTGATTTATTACTGCCAGGACATATATTTTTCTTGGTGTACTATCATAAAAAGTAAAACAAGACAGCATTAAAAAAAAACCACACAAAAAAAATCAAAGCTCCAATATCCTATTCTGGGACTGTTTTGAGAAAAGCAGAATAAAAACTGTAACCTCCACTATACAGTTCTGAGGGCTAATTCATTCCAAGCATGTGATACAGACATCAATGCTAGCTAGAAAAACATTAAGAAGTGTTACCCATTTGACCTTATATTCCTTCTTACCCCCATACTCCCTTCCCACCAATTATTATTGTGAATTAAAATTGGTTTAAAAGATGATGATTAGGTTCTTGCTCTGGTTGTATTGGGTACTTCTTTCCATCCGGGAAAAAATAAGCCCAGCATTGACTGTGCTGTTGCAATCCAAGTCGTATTGTCAGGTTTTTGTCTAACGTAGAAACTGAAAAGCCTATACATTTTGCTAGATCAACTCTACCAGGCCAACTAAACACCTTAAATTTTTATTTCTGTAACTCTGAATTTAAAAGCATTGGTCTTGTATCTTGCCTATAATTAACAAGCAACAGAAGTAATAATAATAATCAGATATTCTAGCTACTATAATTCAAAGAAGCCTTCCTTCCTTCCTTCAGCAAAAACATATGTTCTGCATAGGTCAGATGAAAGAATACCAAGTGACACCCACAAAGTAAATTCTACTCAAGGAGGCATCAGAAGCAAGATTAAGGTAATAGGTGCATTGTACAGGTATCACAAACAGAACTACAGAGGTCCCAAAGATCAACCCACCCTCACTGAAGCCAAAGACATGCAAAACACCTACCAGACCCCTTACACCTAGTTAATATATGGTTGTAGGAATGTTGCCTTCAGAAAAAACATCTGCTGTCCACAGGACATCAAAATGAGATTTTTGCATGTATCATGTCAGAAAGATCCAGACTTCTCTCACACTTCTGTCACTCAAGAAATAACAACAACAGCAGCAGCAAAAAGAAGTCTTGCATTAACCTTTGGTTTACTGAAAAATCAGGGTGTGACAATTCACCTATAATCCATCCATTGCAATGGGGCCTTCCCACAAAAAGTTGGCCAAGATTATCTTTTGAGGTCCCTTCCAACCTGGGCTATTTTATGATTTTAACTTACCTTCATCATGACAGTCTACATACACTAAATTTACCTCCAACTACAGATGCCAAACGAAGCAATGCCTCCCTACTCCTCTCTACTCTGACTGGGGGGTAGCATGGGCAACCCACAGCATCACAGGGATGCCAAGTGACTCTCACAGAGGGTAGAGGCAGGGCTCCCTAATGCTCCAGACACTTTTTCAGTGACATACCCTACTCTGCAAGCTCCTCCAAGAAAGCAAGTGCAGTAGCACTGCCTGTCCTACAGTAAGGTTTTTGTTCCGCTCTTTTCTGACAGAACAAGGGTCACCTCACACACTGAAAGAATGTAGTAAGAAACAACTCTGGCTTCAGCACAAGCACTTATACATCCATCCATCCATGCTCCACCCTGGTGATTACCATCAGATCCAGCAACTGTCAGCTACGAGAACTGTTGTTCTGATGAACATTAGACCTGTTTGTTCTCCTGTCTTGCCTTTTGTCGAGACCAGGCAGTGCTTTCAGAAAAGCACCGACAGAGCTGCCCACAAGCACCAGCTGACCCCAATTTCAGTGTGCCAAAAGTCATCCCCAAGCACGGCTCTTAACATGAAACATTAGAGGACATACTACCTCTCCAGAAGGGCTATAAGAGGAAGCCATTACACGCAGTCCCATTTCATGCTATTTCCGTGTCATTTTAAAACAACGAGGAGAAAAACCCACCGCTATACCACAACTGGAGATTTTATTCTTTTCTGTTGGAAACAGGCCCTCCGACTTGCCCAAACAAACGCAGGCACCTGCCTGGGGCAGCAAATCAGTTATTTCAGTTGAGCACACTACTTTTTTTTTTTTCTTTCCCCTCACACATGTTCCTTACCACCCCGAAGTAGCCAGACTTTGTAACTCCCAGGGGAGAGCGGGGAAGCCCGCTT